TCAATGAATTGACGTTTGTCATCAGCCCAACTGAGAGCAAGTTTCTCTTGTTTAATTGTGTGTACTTGATGTTTTTTACTTGTAATCATGTACTGCTCTTTTCTTAATAATACATGTTCAAAAAAACATCTCTTGAAGTCATCAAATGTGATGGTCTTCAAGGCTGATCCTCCGATCCCCTTTGCCCGTTTCTTTATCCTGTCTTTTTCCTTCTCAGGATCATGAATTTCGAAGGAGTACAATTTGGCTCTGAGACCCACGAACTCGGACATGATTTTTCCATTGTTCTCGTCCTTCATGAGTCCGAGAACCTTTCTATTGACAAGAGGCATGTTGAAGACATTGTTAGGCGGGTAATCGGAGGTATCAAACCTTGAAATATCACGTTTGATATCTTCATAGATGTTGGGTACATTAAATTGGTAAATTAGACTATCTGTGTCAGTGTACAATAATTTTGAGGTATTTACATAATTTTGCATAACATAATTGTAATGAAAGTCATAAATATAAATTTTAGATAAATCTAATATACTAAACCCTACGTAGATCGGCTTGCTGAAGCAAACTCTAGCTTTTTTAAGTTTAACTATAACCATATCCTCATCAAAAATTGTAAGGCTGTGGAAGTTTGGTCTACATACTAAATCCGATACATTGTATCGACCTTGCCCCTTTGTTCTTGAATATATATCTTTATATTTTCGTACATTCTCCATCGTCTTTCCAAAAACCGCATTATTCATTAATTTATAAAAGTTTTTTTCGAACTCATTCTTAGCTAGTTTTCGGCATGCGGTATTTTTATCGATATATGATTTGAGCCAGTCTGATTGCTCAAATTTCAAGACTCGGTGTATTTTCTTAAGAACTAAACCTAAATCTAAACATTGTTTCAAATTTTTATAGTGAATAACATAATTATTTTTATCTTACAGAGTTGTCGTGAGTTTTTGTTGCTTGCTACCAGGTGGTACAAAATGTTCTGGGCATAAAGGTAGATCTTTGTGTAGATCATGTAAATTCTCAGGATAGTGTAGATCTACTTCAAGGATGTAGCCTACACTCTCATTATCATTGAAAAACTGATCTACATCATCTACATTTTCAACCCATTTAAATTTACCCTTTGGTAAAGACATACTCATCGCTGCGCCATACAAATTATTTACATCATAGTACATTAGGTATGTTTCGGGATTGTTTGAATCAAAATCTTTGCCCATACACCGGTTGTTAGCTTCAGCATGTCTATTAGCACCCATCGATACCCCACCGCGAACACCCTTTTCAATGAAAAGAAGCATCTCAGGATCAGTTAACAGTTCAAGTTCTACTTCAGTATGCTTTAACATTGCAGCGTTCGAAAGACCTGGTGCTGTATAAAAGTGTAGTGCGTCTAAATTGTATGTCTTGAAACAACTACGTCTAAAGTTTTCAAAGACATCAGTCAACAGAAGGACATCAGTTTTTAAGTTTAAGTCCGAGTACTCTCCAAGCGTATTGATTTTAAACTCGTTCCAGACTACTTGAGCAAAAGCATAATCGTCATCGGAAATGGTAGAATTAGTTAATTTTGAATAAAATGAATCCTGGTCAGGTAACTGTGTCTCGTCTAGTCTGTCAATACTGTCAATGTACTCATACGGGAATACACCCTTACGTATTGCTAATTTAAATTTATCAGGGTCAGGGTAGTGGAGTCGCGTAATCTGTTTGTCTTTGTCATCAAGGTATGAAGCTAATTTCTCTAAACTGGAAGCCATAAATCTAAAAGAGTCAATAAATCGTAAAGAGACTGAAGTATTTTTAACTAATTTTGTGAAAGAAATGTAACGTTCTTTATTAATCGGTAGTAATGAAATTTCACCTTCAAATACTGTAGCTAAGGACTTAATTATGAAGTGGGAATCATAGCCGGATAAATTATGAAAGACAACTGGGATAATGGTAGATTTTCGATAATTAACGTCACAGGATTTATGTGCAGCATCTCTGTAGTTACCCGTAAAGTGACAATGATCATAAACTTTATCTGTAGGAGATGTTATAGGCTTTTCACAGATGTGACACTCAGTTGCCTGGTTGTGTCTATCTTGTTGCTCTTTCGTTAAGGGTTTCATTTTAATAGGATTCTTTAGAATGTTTTCAAAGTCTAGAGCTAACGATTCTAATTGTTTAACGAACCAGTTGATGCAATCAGTAGAACGGTTTAATTCAAATTTAGAGAGTGTATTATCATAGCTGCAATGTACATAATAAGCAATACTGTGTGGAACATGTTTATGAGCTGGTTTCTCATCATCTCCCGAGGGTTCGAGTGTGCATTCTAGATCCGCGTAAACTACAAACGGTACAGTATCTTTGGACTTAAAATCTTTGAATTTCAAAATCTTATTTTTCATTAGGAAACTCCATACGAACTTTGTTCGATTTGAAACAATCTACTCTGTGCTCTTCATAACAATTTTCTATTTTGAAATGATTTAAACAACGATCACAAAAGTACAATTTATGTTTACCTAGAGATATTTGACTTCTAATTAATGCAGAAAGATCAATTATCCATGCAAAGTGATAGACTGACTCAATATTATCTAAATTATTAGTATAATTTACACTTTTTTTAATCATCAATAAATGAATTGTCGATATTTCTGACTCGAAGTTACTTAAATATAACGGTATGGTAGTACTTTTCTCAGACTTTTTACCCGTGAATTCTGACTCTATACCATATACATTAATGCTAAGATCATTCATTTTTTCAAATTTTGGGATGTCATTAAGCTTAATTAGAAATTGAATACCTTCATAGTTCAATCTTTCGCTGAAGTGATGATATCTTGTAGGGCTTTCTGGAACCAATACTGGTGGATGCAAGGCGGCGTTGACACACCACAGGAAGCAGAACTCGTCATTGTTTTGGATGTTCGTAACCGCATTCTTCCTGATAATATCCCTTGGTAATCTGACGAAGGTGGAGTTTCCAACTTGGGTTGGTGTGAATCGTGACATGGTCACCATCAAGCTGTTGGGTCCAAGTAGACTCCATCCGGAGCCCTCATGCTCAAAATCTTCAATTCTTTGAAGTAATTTATCGTAGACATGTTGACTAAACCAATCCTGAAGAGATGTGGCAGGGAGAATCTCACGGCTTTTAGTGATGAAAGACTTTCACTCTTCTACATCTTCTTGTTTCCGGAATGTGCAAAAGAGTTCAACATTCACTTTCAACCCTGCCAGGTCTCTCAGGACACTCTGTACCTTGTTGATGATGATGTCCCGTGAGTCCTAGAGAAATGATGCTGGATCTTTGTGACGTTGGTTGATGACACATCCAGTCTGGATGTTACCAGCAAAAGCATTCTCCAAGTCCTTCCATTTGACTCCTTGGTTGAGATCTCCACCAACAACTTGGTTACCGAGTCTGGAGAACTGATCGGCAAACCAGTTGTGTTGGTTGATGTGCGCTTGAACACTTCGTCTCACTTGAATTGTTGTTCCAGGATCCAGTAATATTGTGTTGAAGTATTCAATGGTCTCCTCACACACTCGTAAACACCTTTGACGATGTTCATCAGTGAGCTGCTCTCCCAACAGATCAGCATATGAGAATGCAATAGTGTCCACCAAGTTTTTGAGAGCCTCGATAAGGTTATGTTGTGCGATTTTGAAACGAGAATCACTTCACTACTGTCTATTTACACAATATTATAGGTTATGTACACTTTTTAAGGTCATGTACAATGTTTATAGGTTATATACACTGTTTATAGGTTATGTACACTTTTAAAGGTTATGCCACTGTTTATAGGTTATGTATACTACACACACTGAATTTACACGATAGTTTTTGACACACTGAACTACAGTTTATGCGCACACAATAGTTTTTGCACACTAGACTACAGTTTATGCTCACAATAGTTTTTGCACACTGGACTATACTCGCGTACTTCACAACATTGAACTTCACTATATTTTATATAAAACTGAATACTTTTTAATCACGAGAGATGTTTCACTGGAGACTTGTACTTCGTTTTTGTGAAGTTTGCTCTCGGCGAGCTGCTTATATAGGCCGAGAATACTGCGCAGTTACCCCCACTCCTCTACCTAAAACCGGTTTGATGACGTCATCTACTGCGCAGTAAAAAAATTCTAGAACAGAATGAGTCATCTACTGCGTAGTTACCTCCACTCCTCTACCTAGAAACCGGTTTGATGACGTCATCTTCTACGTAGTTAGAAATAAAACAAAGAAAACTGCGCAGTTACACAACCTTGAACAGGTTCAAACCTGTCTGATGACGTCATCTACTACGCAGTTAGACAATTCTAGAATGGTATGAGTCATCTGATTCATGGAAATTTCCCCCACCCCTTTCACAAAAACAAGTCTAAACCTGTTTGATGACGTCATCTACTACGCAGTTAGAAATAGAACAAAGAAAACTGCGCAGTTACGCGACCTTGAACAAGTTCAAACCTGTTTGGTGACATCATCTACTACGCAGTTAGAAAATTCTAGAACAGAATGAATCATCTACTACGCAGTTAGGTATAGGACAAAGAGAACTACGCAGTTACCGTGACCTTGAACAGGTTCAGACCTGTCAGATGACATCATCTACTACGCAGTTAAAAGTAATGCAAGCTGCCACCAGATGGCGCTGCGTAAAATCCTTCTCGCAAGTAGTTGTCATAACTTCATTTTATCTATATAAATCGTGGATATATCATACCCCAAATGCGTAATCCTGAACTATTGATCTGTAATGGCAAGCCTAAAAGCAGGTTAATAGTTAAGGATGCTTTTTTCTAACCTCAAAATGTTGAATTCAGATTCAAAATGAGTAGATAAGCAAGGCCGGTTTGACCCCCTGATAAAGTAGATTTCTGCAGCACCGACCTTGGGTTTCTGCCTTATCGACGGTCGTTGGTGGAGTTTCTGCGATATCGATGGTTGGTTTTTTGTGCTCTACTTACCGACTGTTGTTGGGGATTATCATCGATTTGTTGGTCGATTTTTTTACCGACTGTTGGGGGATTATCATCGATTTGGTGATCGATATTTACCGACTGTTGGGGTGATTATCATCGATTTGGTGATCGATATTTACCGACTGTTGGGGGTGATTATCATCGATTTGGTGATTGATGTTTACCGACTGTTGGGGGATTGTCATCGATTTGTTGGTCGATTGTTTGAGGTCAAAATGCTACCACCCCAACAGCAGAGCTGATACCTTTACCGTGTATCACCTTTGGTGTTGATGTGATATGCACTTATTTGATGTGATGATGTATTTTGTATATATTCAAATGACTTGTAGTATAAGTATATGCGAGAAAGATCGATACTTACGCTGCTCTGGTGGGATGAAATGTAGGTATTGAAGTCTGTTTATCGATTTGAGGTAAGTTTTATCGACAGTCTGATGTCAAATAGTGATCTATGTTATCGACTGCGAGTATCAACAGTCGGTATTATACCAAGTGGTGTTCTGTTTTATCGATGCGGGGGTAAGAGTTTTTTGAATTTTAACGTCTTTAGCCCCCTACTCTCTCGATTACATCATGTTTTTACGCCATCCGACAAGTTTAAACCTGTTTTTGGCGTCGTCGTTGGGAGGGGATCGTTGGTGGGGAGTTATACTTACTTGCCTCCAAACTTCAGTCCTCTGCCTGCAGTTACTTCAATCAGTCGTTCAGTTTAAAAAAAATATGTGTCTTTTTTTAAAAATATTTAAAATTGTGTACTCTACGGAAAATCAAGTAAGTCATTTATTTCATTATTCTATTTTATAACTAATTTCTACTATTATTATTAACTATT